CTGTATATCTTAATTATGTATATGTGAAATAAGTTATAAAAAATTAAAATGTTTAAGTATCACTTTGTTTGTAGTCGATTTTCATCCTTCTTTCTGGGAAGGCAGTGACTATTGATTTTTTTCCCCCTTAGCATTGTTAAGGTTTTAGATTCTTACCCACCCCACCCCACCCCACCCCACCCCTTTGGTTGGCATATCACCATCATAGCCACAACATCACCTGAATTGGGACTATATTCTAATAGGGATGCTTATACTTGTTTTATTTTTTAAGTAATATTTACTTTTCTATCAGTACAGTAATATGAAATTCACTAGAAAAGCTAGGTTTCAGAGTAACAGCCGTGTTAGTCTGTATCCGCAAAAAGAAGAACAGGAGTACTTGTGGCACCTTAGAGACTAACAAATTTATTAGAGCATAAGCTTTCATAAGCTTTCAGAAAAGCTAGACATATAGTAGACCCTCACTAATTCACACTTCATTATTCAAACCCAGTATTTTCTCACAGTATACCAGGTGGTCTCTAAAGATTTAATTGCAGAGTGCTGTGGGAGCTAAGACTTCATTACTTTTGCAAGATATATGCCAGTGAAATTGGTGGTGTAGTATGAGTTATTATTATAAGTGTATCTGAACTATAGTTGTCAAAATATATGAAGAAGGTACATTTTATGATGAAGTATCTTTGGGGGGATGTTAATTGTGGTTGTGCGGGTACTCACTAAATCACCAAATTTGGTAATCTGCAGTACTTGAGGGAAATAAAAAGGTTGTGTGTGATATATTGGATTATTAATAACTATATTTGAAACTTTGCAATGAGACTTTTCCCCTCGTTTTAGCAAGCATGTTAGTTAGTATACTGTAATTAGCATCATGAGATCGAAAATTATTTGCACAGTGCCATGTACTGTTGCGGTGGGTTAAAAGTAATCATCAAAAAAGAAAAGGATGGTCACTTAAATAACAGGGAGCTTTTTATAATATGAAAAATATATGTATTTTAAAAAGTCTATTTCCTAGACTATTTCTGTGAAGATAACCTGTTTGTCTTAAATCAGATTAATACTGATGTAAATAAGAATCAAGATCACAATTCACCTTCCAGAAAATACTGATTTAATAACTGCAGAATCCTAGAAGTCTTTCACTCTTTTTCAGTTAACAAATTTGGAGGAACTATGAAACTAAAACAGCTTTTCCTATAAGAACATGCTACTTTTTTGTAGGTGGTACTGAAGACTGAGGAAGGGGAAAGTCATACTTAAATTTTTAGCCTGGACTGTGGACTCTGAGAGAAAAAATGGAACCAGGACCAATCATCTAAAAATTGTCTGGCTCCACATTTTCCTGTAGGGGGAAGTAAGCATAGCAAACAAGTGCCTTGAGATTGAAAAGAGACCAGTTTTGTCCTCCCATTTGACCTTTGATATGTATTTGATGTTTTCTGACAACTCTCAATAACATTTTCCCAGCGGTATATGTTCAAGTAGCTGAAAAGCAGTTTTGTTATAAATATGAAAAATTCTCATAAATGTGTAAAATTTGATTGGGATGGCCTTCCACTTCTAATATTGCTGACCAGTCATCCTAATGTCCTTTATTTTACATTGCAGGTTGTCTGTCTGCTCTCCCACAAATGAAAAAAATATCTACATCTTATGAAGAGAGACGGAAGCAAGCCACTGCTATTGTCTTGCTAGGAGTGATTGGAGCAGAATTTGGAGCTGAAATTGAACCTCCAAAACTGTTGACGAGGCCACGCAGTTCCAGTCAAATTCCTGAGGGATTTGGTTTAACTAGTGGTGGATCAAACTATTCCTTGGCAAGACATACTTGTAAGTATTCTATGTTGTGTCCTCCATTGCTCTTTTAACCACCTCATAACTATTCAATGGGTTTTATTTCAATACTCCTTGTTCACTAATCTCATTTTCATAGAGTAAGGAAAAGGAACCAATTTTGAGCACTTAGCTTCATATTAGTATGTTGACTATCAGGAAATTGTTTCTGAAATATGTAGCTGAGCAATATATGAAGTTTATGAATAGATGGTGGGATTTTCAAAAGCACCTGAGGGAGTTAAGTTCCTCTCCCATTAAAGTCAATTGAATTCTTTCAAGGTTGGACTTGTAATGGGAATTGGTTGCCTAACGTGCTTTTGAAAATTCCACCGATCTAGATAGTGTAGATTTATAAGCACCCAAGAGTGCATGTGTGCATACCTCTGCTTCTGCTTTCCTCTCAAAAATACCTATGTGGCCTAATGGGAAAAGTACTAGATTAGGAACCAGGAGACCATGAGTTCTGGTCCCATCGCTTCCACTGAATGGCCTTAATTCTCAGTACTTCACAACTCTTTCTGAGTAAGGGCTGGCAAGTATAATTTACTTCCTTCCCTGATACTTTATGAAGGAGGATCAGTTAAGTCACCCAGGATCCTATCTGCAGAGCTGAAATAGAATTTAAGTCTCTGATATGATAGAACAAAGAGTTTGACAAGGTTACTGAAAATGTGATGGCTTCTAAGGTCCAATAAGATCTGTGCTGTTACAGCATATTGAACCTTCATAGTTGGGTTCAGAACAGGACATGGCCCTGCTGGTGCTGATGGACCTATCCTGACTGTGGACAGGAAACAAGCTTCCATGTTTATATTGCTGTCTTCAGCAGTCAGTGCCAGTGAATGATCATTTGATGCTAACACTCATGAGAACCTAATAGGAGCAAATGTACATTGGGTGCATTCACTTATCTTGGACAGGTTTTGAGGGCTGTGATACCTCTGACAGAAACCTTATCATGTGAAGTCCAGAACAGCTTAATATTCTCACTCCTCTTCAACATCTTCATTGGACTACTCCTATAGATCATGAGGCACCATGGTACCACCAGCATGTGGATAATAAGAATAATTTATAGTAATTATAATTAATAGAGCATGAAAATATATCTCTTCACTGCACAAGTGCAACATCTACACGATGATGACCCAATACCTGGAAAAAATAAGCAAATGAATTAAAAGCATTCTAGTGCTTTGATTCAAATGCAGTCCAAGAGAGAGATAAGCGGTGATGGTAGGGAAAGGTGAAAACATTATACCGAGCTTGCCAGTGCTCTAACCTACCATTGGTTCAGGATGTCAAAGTACAGTCAATCAAAGTGGCACACAGCCTCAAACTCGTGCTAGATTCTTCATTGCTTCTGGATGTATGGTACAATTACAGTGGTGAGTAATGCTTTTTTTGGTGTTTAGCGATCTAGGAAATTGTCCTCACAGTGGGATTCTAGTTGCAATGATCCATGCATTTGTGACCTTCAGGCTGCGCTTCTGCAATGCTTTGCACCTAAAAATGAAAATGCTGACCCTGGACAAGCTCCAGTCAGTTCATAATGCAGTGTCCTACCTACTTAAGAGCAGAGGTCACCAAGGCTTTGTCTACTGTAGCATGTCTGAAGATATGCTGTTTTCTCTTCATTTCTTACCCTCCTAGTTGTTCTACCTTACAGGGTAAAGGATCAGGGGCATACATGAGGTTAAACAGAGAAATTCTGTTTAAAAAAAAAATGCTTTTTCTTCTCCTCTAAAACTTACTTCTAATTTCTGCGTAGGTAGTTTTGCATCAAGGTTGTTTTCAAGGATGATGTATAAATGAGTCACTTTGTTGAGTACTGTGAATTCTCCTAAGATCCAGGAAAATTATTATCTTATTTTAGTATCCAAAAGCCCGTTGTTGTAAGTGCTCTACAAGTTAAAGGTACACAAGGAAAAGCCACTTGGCTCCTGAAAAGGAAGGGGAATGCCTGTTGAGAGAACACATGCACTCAGCAATGTATAGTTAGTTAGTACCCATTACACCTCTGGTGTTTAGGGCAACAACGAAGCTCCTTCACTCCTGTCTGTTTTTGGCAAGTCTTTCAGTGGTTCCCCAGCTGTGGTTTTTCAGCTCAGCTTCAACTGCTTTTCACCATGTTGTTTTCGGGCAGCCTCGTTTTCACTTGCCTTCCGGTGTCCATCTTAGTGCTATTCTGGTGATGGAATCAGTTTCCATCTGAAGCACATGTTCAATCCATCTCCAATGCCCCCGGTAACAATGGTGCTCATATCTTCTTGGCTGCACTGTATGAATAGGGCTTGGTTTCATATTGTTCTGGGCCAAAAGATACGGAGGATTTTTCTGAGACAGGTTGTATGAAATGAAGACGGTTTGGACATATCATGTTTTTTCGTTCCCCAGCATTCTGTGCTATAAAGTAGTGTTGAAAGTACGCAACTCTAAATCTTCAGTTTGGTTTTGGGGTTGTATTTTGATGATTTCCAGACAGTATTTAAGCTCCTGAAGGTGTTCTGGGCTTTATTGATTCTGTTCTGGATATCCTGGTTTCTTCCACCATCCTGGCTGGTGGTGCTGTCCAAGTATGTGAATGTTTCTACATTGGTGAGAACGTGATAAACGTATTGGTGATGGTGAGGCAATATTAAGGGTCATGATATCTGTCTTATTGCAGCTGATTTTTCAGTCTGATTTGCTGGCTGTGTGCGTTGAGTTGGGTTGTTTTTTCTTGTATGTGGTGTTGGGTTGCAGAAATAAAGTTCTTGACGCACTAAATGACTGTTTCTTGGAGAAGCTAGTCCTGGAACCCACAAGAGGACGCAATTCTTGATGTAGTACTAAGTGGTGAATATAGTTGGACTGTTTGGTAATAGGTTTCAGAGTAGCAGCCGTGTTAGTCTGTATCCGCAAAAAGAACAGGAGTTCCGAAGAAGTGGGCTGTAGTCCACGAAAGCTTATGCTCTAACAAATCTGTTAGTCTCTAAGGTGCCACAAGTACTCCTGTTCTTTTTGTTTGGTAATAGTGACCATAATATAATTAAATTTAACATCTCTGTGGTGGGGAAAACACCATAGCAACCCAACATTGTAGCATTTAATTTCAGAAAGTGAAAAAATGAGGAAAGTAGTTAAACAGAAATTAAAAAGGACAGTGCCAAAAGTGAAATCCTTGCAAGAGGCATGGAAACTTTTTAAAGACACCATAATAGAGGTTCAAATTAAATGTATACCCCAAATTAAAAAACATAGAGAACCAAAAAAGTGCCACTGTGACTAAACAACAAAGTAAAAGAAGCAGTGAGAGACAAAAAGGCATTCTTTAAAAAGGGGAAATTAGTGAGGAAAATAGAAAGAGGCATAAACTCTGGCAAATGAAATGTAAAAACATAATTAGGAAGACCAAAAAAGAATTTGAAAGTAATAGCAATTTTTTTAAGTACATCAGAAGCAGAAAGCCTGCTAAACAACCAGTGGTGCTACTGGATGATCGAGATGCTAAAGGAACACTAAAAGACGATAAGGCCATTGCGGAGAAACTAAATGAATTTTTTGCATCAGTCTTCACAGCTGAGGATGTGAGGGAGAATCCCAAACCTGAGCCATTCTTTTTAAGTGACAAATCTGAGGAACTGTCCCATTTTGAGCTGTCATTAGAGGAGGTTTTGGAACAAATTGATAAACAGTAATAATTCACCAGGACCAGATGGTATTCACCCAAGTGTTCTGAAGGAACTCAAATGTTAAATTGCAGAACTACTGACTGTAGTTTCTAACCTATCATTTAAATCAGCTTCTGTACCAAATAACTGGAGGATAGCTAATGTGATGCCAATTTTTAAAAAGGGCTCCAGAGGTGATCCTGGTAATTTCAGGCCAGTAAACCTAACTTCAGTACCAGGCAAAGTGGTTGAAAGTATATTAAAGAACAAAATTGTCAGACACATAGATGAACGTAATTTACTGGGGAAGAGTCAACATGGTTTTTGGTGAGGCATGATTTCCCTTTACAATTTACTAGACTTCTTTGAGGAGGTCAACAAGCATGTGGACAAGGGTGATCCAGTGCATATAGTGTACTTAAGTTTTCAGAAAGCCTTTGACAAGGTCCCTCACCAAAGGCTCTTAAGCAAAGTAAGCTGTCATGGGATAAGAGGGAAGGTCCTTTCATGGATTGGTAACTGGTTAAAAGACAGGAAACAAAGGGTAGGAATAAATGGTCAGTTTTCAGAATGGAGAGAGGTAAATAGTGGTGTCCCTCTGTACTGGGACCCGTTCAATTCAACATATTCACAAATGATCTAGAAAAAGGAGTAAACAGTGAGGTGGCAAAATTTGCACATGACACAAAACTACTCAAGACAGCTAAGTCCCAAGCAGACTGTGAAGAGCTACAAAAGGATCTCACAAAACTGGGTAACTGGGCAACAAAATGGCAGATGAAATTCAATGTTGATAAATGCAAAGTAATGCACATTGGAAAACATAATCCTAACTATACATATAAAATGATGGGGTCTAAATTCAGCTGTTACCACTCAAGAAAGAGATCTTGGAGTCATTGTGGATAGTTCTCTGAAAACATCCACTCAATGTGCAGCAGCAGTCAAAAATCTATATGCATCCCTGGTATGCGCACATCCTGAATACTGTGTGCAGATGTGGTCGTCCATCTCAAAAAAGATATATTGGAATTAGAAAAGATTCAGAAAAGGGCTTCTTGAGGTCTGGGTGTGTGCTACTTTATTTTTCAAGCAATTTGGTAATACTAGTTTTCCTGAAGAAGGCATTAAGTATTAGCAGGAGGCATAATTGTTCTTTGCTGGGTTTCACAAGCCAGGAGCACCATGGCTCCATTTCACAGGTTGTGGCTCTAATATTTTCCAGGGCTGCTTTACCATCATCCTGTTTGATAGAGTCAAACCCTGGCAGGGATGTTAGGTTTGACAAGATGGCCTGGTCAGAAATGGAATTTTCTCTCCTTAAAACTATCAGCAAAGTAC